AAAAACCAGTGTAAAAAATCAAAAGACAATTAACTGGCAGGAAATATATGCAATACTTAGAACAAACAAAATATTGGCATACAATAGAAATTCCTACAAATTGGGCCTGGCATGGTGGTTCATGCCTGTAATCCCAGCATCCTGGGAGGCCAAAGGAGGCAGATCACTTGAACTCAGAAGTTCAAAACCAGCCTGGGCAACATGGTGAAACCCCATCTCTACAAAAAAATACAAAGATTAACCCAGTGCGGTGGTGCACACCTGTAATCCCAGCTACTCGGGAACCTGAAGTGGGAGGATCATTTGAGCCCAGAAGTTGGAGGGTGCAGGGAGCCGAGGTCACACCATTATATTCTAGCCCTGGCTTCAGAGCAAGACCCCATCTCAAAATAAATAAATTCCTACAAATCAATACTTAAGTGATTGTTATAGCCTGAATGTTTGTCCCCTCCAAAACTCATGTTGAAACCTAATTCCCAATGTGACAATGTTGGGAGTTGGGCCTAATGGAAGGCTTTTAGGTCATGAGGGCTCCACTCTCATGAATGAATTAATGCTGTTATATAAAGGGTTTTCTGGAGTGGGTTCTCCCTCTTGCCCTTCCACCTTCTGTCATGTGATGACCCGGTAAGAAAGCCCTCACCAGATGCTGACACTATGAGCCAACAAATTTCTGTTCATTACAAACAAGCTAGTCTGTGGTATTTTGTATAGCAGCACAAAATGGATGGAGACAATGATCAACAAGCCAATTAAAAAATAAGCTAAAGTTACAACCCTATATGCAAAAAGTAGCAATAGTAATTCTCAACCACCAAATCTGCCAAAATTAAATAAAATGATGGGAAATACCATGAGGGAAGAAGAAAAAATCCCTCCCATACCACTGTTGTTAAATATGCAATTTCTTTCAGGTTTCTTTTAGGAACATAATTTGGAAATACTTTAAAAATTAAAAATACACATACCCTTTAACCTAACAAATCCAAGCCCACTCATTAAATATATCTTGAGCATGTACCAGTGTGTAGTGAGAAATTAACTTTCATTAACTAATGTGAGGTGATCTCTACGCCCATAAAAGTTCCTGTCTTTATTTGCCTGGGGACTTTGGCTGACAGTCTAACAGTATGGTTTAAGATAAGGACATTGGATCATGCTATTTCAGCTCTGACCTCCAAAAGAAACGGTATTAGCCTGACTGCCAGGAGGGGTTGGAAACTAAAACAGCAACAGAGACAGTATGTGATTGAGCCTCAGTAAAAACTTTGGACACTGAAGGCGCAAATGGGTTTCCCTCATTGGCAATAGTCTGTGCATACTGTCACATATTAACATTGTCCAGTAAAAATCTTGAGTGCTGAGCATTAATAGGCCTTCCTGACAGAAACAATGTGTTACTACATTTTTGGTGCTGGGGAAAAGAATGACTTGATGTACTTCTGCAGAAGAGGGATAGAACATAAGAAAGAAAATACAGATTTCTCCAGACTCTTATCTGGTATTACTATTTTGTTGTAATAAATCTTAACTGTAAGTATAACTATATGCTGTATCCCATGAGACCTTCTAGTAAATATCTGAACATTAGGGTGGTCTTGAGGACCCTGACACATCTCAATTGGAAATATCCCAAATGCCCATTAATAAGAGAACATATTAATTTAACTGTACTATGTATGTCCCGTGTTTATGCTATCCATGAAAATGAATGAGTTGAATTAAATCTGTTACACTGAATCTCCACAATGTACTGTTACAAGAATAAAGGAAGATTCCATACATGAACAGGGAAAAGACACATTATAATACACAGTTAACACTGAAGTCATGGAGAATCAGGGCAATGTTTTAAAAGAAAAGGGAAGAAAGGAAGAGGGAAGGTAATGAAGAAAATTTTTTAATGACTGAGGAAGGGAAAATATTTAAATACAAATACAGCTAGTAAGAAACCAGTAATCAACAGGCTAATATAAAGAAGGGTCTCCGGAATGTAATGTTCTTTCTGAACAGAGTGATTTCAGATATCATTTCTTTTCTTATGTGACTTTTCTCTATTCTTTGTTTTTTTTCGATAAACACATATAAAGTGCATAGTTTGAAATGACAACAAGGTCATTTTCACAGAGTAAAAGGATTTCACCTATTTTTATCTTAATCTTTCATTGATAAGTCTGTTTATAAAATTAGCTATTTAGTTATACCATCTTACCCTTTTCCTTCTTTGGTGGTATGGGTGTTTAATATAAGCTCTTAACTGTTTAAATGCAAATGAGGGGGGGGAAGGCAGGGGGAAGGCATAAATATTCACAAAATAAAGATAGGCAGTTCCTAAATGACTGAAATGTACCTATAGTTGGACAAATCAAATTCACATGGATTTTTAATTTCAAAGTTACATAGGTTTTAATTTTACGCTTTCTATCTTTTACAAAGTGAGCTGTGCTACCGTTAACAGAATTTTTCTTTCCTTCTAGACACTAGATAGGAGAAACTCGCTATAAGTGACACAATTTTATCTTTTTTTCTTTGAGACAGAGTCTTGCTCTGTCACCCAGGCTGGAAGGCAGTGGCACTATCTCGGCTCACTGCAACCTCCACCTCTGGGATCAAGTGATTCTCATGCCTCAGCCTCCAGAGTAGCTGGGATTACAGGTGTGCACCACTATGCTCAGCTAATTTTTGCATTTTTAGAAGAGACAAAGAGGTTTTCTCATGTTAGCCAGGCTGGTCTCAAACTCCTGGACTCCTGTGATCTGCCCACATTGGCTTCCCAAAGCTCTGGGATTACAGGTATGAACCACTGTGCCTGGTTAACACAATATATTATATATCTATCTCCCTTGTTTATTATACAAATACTTACAGGCATGCTTGGTTTTATGGTGCCTCATTCTATTGTGCTTCCCAGATTTTGTGGCAACTCTGTGTCAAGGAAGTCTATTGGTACCATTTTCCAACAGTAATGTGCTCACTTTGTGTCAGCATTTTTTTTTTTTTTCCAGATGTAGTTTAACTAGACTGGGGTGCAGTGGCACGATCTGGGCTCACTGCAACCTCTGCCTTCCAGGTTCAAGCAATTCTCCTGCCTCAGCCTCCCAAGTAGCTGGGATTACAGGAGCCCACCACCATACCTGGCTAATTTTTGTATTTTTAGTATTTCATCATGGTGGTCAGGCTGGTCTCAAACTCCTGACCTCAGGTGATCCGACTGCCTTGGCCCCCCAAAGTGCTGGGATTATAGGCGTGAGCCACTGTGCCCGACCCCTATGTCAGC